AAAAGTGCTTAATTTTATTGGCTTCACACAGACTAGGAATCAGAAAAAATGCTGATAATCGTGAGCTCTGTGTGAACTATAAATCAGGGACATTCGAGAGCATGATCATAGAAATATTTAAAAAGATTTCAGGGACTCCGAGGTTAGACTGCCTTTCAGGGAGGTTTCTGCTGGTATTCTTAACACACTGTGATACATGTTGTAGGTGAATGTCATCAGCACGGAGTCTTCTTATGATGGCACAACACTTTTGTACCAAGTAAAAAACAGCAAACACAAAGAGGAGGGAATTTTATAATGATAACCTCATAGGTTACTCTGATGGCTCCTTAATTATAGTTCTGAAAATCCTAAAGATTTAGTAGTTTATCTGTCTAAAAAAATTTGAAAATGAATCTGTGTTTTTCATTCCTTTGATATTTTGTAGGAATAGTTGAATAAGGTCCAGCAGTGATTGAGCCTTAGAGAAGTGTATCTAAATTGTTATGTGTGCTTGAATCCCCTGAGAGTTTTATAAAACTCCAGACTTAGCAGGTCTGTGACACACCTGTTGAGTACCAAGGCTTTCAGTGATAAGTTAAAAAACAGAGATTGTAATTCCACATGGATCTCTGTAGTTAGTGGAGTCATAGAAAGTACCAGAGTAGACTATTATTTACAAAAATTTCCAGAAACATTATCTCATTTAGTTTTCAGAATAGATCTTAGATGGGTAAATATTGCCTCCTTTTTTTCATTTAAGAAAACCATGTTCCCAAGTTGCTAAGTGTCTTTACCAAGAATAGTTTACAGTAGATGGCAAAGCCAGAATTTGAATTTGAATTTAAGAACTTTTAGGATTTTCCATTATGTCATTTTTAAAACTGTTTCTTAAAACTATTGTGTTCCTCTGCACTAATAAAACAATAACAAAAAAATGTGCTGGAAAATTTTTCCCCTTCTGAACTGGATTTTAAAACATAAATGGAAATGAAAAAATGACACTATCTATATTTTGCTATCACTTGTCTATAAGCGATAGACCTATAAGGTCTCCTGGAACACCAGGAAGTTGCAGGTGAGACTGTGTGATACATAAACTCATGATCTGCCATGTGCATTTTGACATATAGGTATCTGAGCCAACAAAATGCTACAATCTTGTTTTCTTCCTCAATCTGAGTTTCTGATTTAAATCTTTTATGATGGCACTACCCTCACCTTCTTCATTTCCTCATAGAAGAGGTAGAGAATACGGTGTTGGTCTTTGGCTTCCCACCATCCTTTCACGTGGTCATACCAAGAGCCCCAACACACTGGAGGATGGGATGAAAAACAGGGCAATGAGTCACAGAGGTCCACCCAACCAATATTCTGCCGAAAAGAGAATCCCCGAAGAGAGAGGGAGAGTCACATTAAAGAAGGTCGTCCCCCTACTTGGTCTAAGGAAGTTATTCTTTCCTTGTAGAATGTTTGGGGATTTTCAGAAAGGAAGGAAATAAAGGCTGAATTCTCTTACCTTTCCCAGCCAGAAAAGTCTCAAAATACTCTTCCCATGTTCCTGGATCAGGAAGACCTTTATTCATTCTTTGGAAATGATAATAGGACACCATATTGTCCTTGGGATTCCTTGCTACATAGATTATCTGGGAATGATGGCAGGAGGGGAAGAAGCAAAAATAAGATTAGATCTAGAAATAGTTATTGCCCAGACAGGTCAAGTTAGAGTGGACACATTTCACACAGATGAATTTTTTGATGCTATGTTCTTGTGATCCTGGGAGATGGGAGATGTAAAGGATTCATATTGACTTGCATATTGAGTATTATAAAGAGATGCACTTATTATTATTATTGTTTTAAATAAGTGATGTAGGGTGCCGCCTGTGGCTCAAGGAATAGGGACTGGCCCCATATACAGGAGGTGATGGATTGAACCCTGGCCCCAGCCCAAAACTGCAACAGGAAAAAAAAGTGATGTATTTGAAGTAGTAATTGATTGAAGACTATTTTGAGGTCATTTTTAAGTGGCACACTCTGAATTCTTTTTGTTTTTTACCTTACAGTTTTTCTCTAGGAAGGATGGTGGTAGCAAGTGGATAGGAAGATGTGTTTTCAGGATCCGTGGTGAAGGCATTTCATTAGCTTGTTCCAAACCTGCAAAATTTGTTTTTAAGCATTTCCTACTACATTTCTCTATTTGCTTCAAAATCTTGCAGCTTCTATTATTACTATGTTAGGACAATTGAAGGCATCTGCAAGAAGGCTGTACTGTCCATAGATCTCACTTGAGAGAATGTGTCTAGCTTATGAATAGATGTTTTGGCTAGAACAATTCCCAACCATAACAATCAGTCAAATAAATAAAAACCTAAACAATTTAAACCCTTCCACCATGGTTATCTTATATGGGCTCATCCTTGTGAAATCAAATTAATTTTCTAATTAGAGAATCAAAATTTAACTTACTTTTGTAGGAAATGGCTATAGTACAGCAATGGCCAGACACAGTTAAAAAACAACAAAGCCACAACAACACAACAATAATTGTTTGAATGTTTAGAATTTTAAGATGTGCAATTTGGTAGTAAAAATTCTGAGTACTATAGTTAAGAGTGGCTACTCCATACTCACCAGATACTACGGATGGAAATATCCATTCGATGAAAGGAAATCGTATATGAGTCGGTGCTCGTTCACTGTTCTTAACATCACCTCCATTGTGTATTAAGTCCACTATCTCCTGAGTCCATGTTGTTCCTTATTCCACACATAAGATGAAGATGCATTGACATTTAATATGCTACATTCCACAAGACAGGGATGTCCAACCATTTTGTTCTGTGCCACACATTGTAAGAATAAGAGTTGTCTTGGGCACACATTAATACACAAACACTAATGAAAGCTGATTAGCAAAAAAATGGTCTGTGCATACTTTTCACACCACAGATAAGAAAGAAAAGTCATCAGAAAATCAGCATGTGGCCCATGGGCCACAGGTTGGACACCCCTGTCTTAAAATATTATCACATAGTTGTTAGAATATGTATGTGAATTTTAAAGCCAAGTCTATAATGGAATTCAGAAGACATCACTTCTTATTTATATCTTATGTTATAATATGAATTTTTATATAAATACTCACATTTGGAGGTGACATTGATAAACATACTTTTTTTCTGTGTCTCAATCATTAATTTGGATTGTTTCCACAATGATTTAGCTCTACTGTCCTTAAGGAAGACAGAATATAATGATGGAAAGGATAAAAAAAAAAAGCAGAATAAAAATTCCTTCTCACCAGATTTTAATCTCCTATGGAGTAGATTATATGGTTTTCAAACTCTCTTTTTTCCCCAAGCACATAGCACAGGAGACACCATTTTTTGGCCGAATGAATGAATGGTTAGTGCCTAGACTTGATATTAACCATTGGTGCTTAGTGTCTATTTTCACGCTTTTCTCTGATTTCCTTTTATTTTAATGGCTGAAAGGCTAAAAAGTAGATTTTCTAGACTTTTTTGGCACTAAGATTCTGAATACTATCTAGATTTTGTCAATAAGATGCATTATTCTAAGATTTGGAAGTCAGAAGGGAGGTAGAAGTCATCCTTTCTGAAGTTTGTGATGGTAGCTTCGACAGACAGAAATTTTGCAGAGGCTATTCCACCTTCCAACCAGTGCCCAAACCCAAGAAGCTGTAGTATCACTGCCACCACAGGCATAAGGAGAATGGCCTCTGTCCCCAAGCCTCAATCTGTCTGTGTTCTGCACTGACCCTGACTGGTACAGTGATACACCACTACCTGAATCTTTACTCTTTGATGAAAGTCTAATGTACTGGACATTCTTGCAAAATCCAGGTTGGGAGGATGTTGGATTATTTTAGGATGGTTTTTTGAATCCCGATCTGGATTGATCTTTCCTATATTCTTGGGAGCAACTCTCGTTTTAGACTTCTTTTCTCATATCCACTCCCCCCCCCCTTTTTTTTTTTACATTTTAATACTTATTAACAAAAAATGGCCAAATGATTGTGTCAAAATGACAAAGTGATGATAAGAAGTAAAATAGAAATTGTTTTTAGCTGTATTTATTTATTTTTTTTGAGACAGAGTCTCACTATGTTGCCCTTGGTAGAGTGCCATGGCGTCACAGCTCATAGCAACCTCCAACTCTTGGGCTTAAGCGATTCTCTTGCCTCTGCCTCTTGAGTAGCTGGGACTATAGGCACTTGCCACAACACCTGGCTATTTTTTGGTTGCAGCTGTCATTGTTGTTTAGCAGGCCCAGGCCAGCTCCAACTTGCCAGACTTGGTGTATGTGGCTGGCGCCCTACTCACTGAGCTATAGGCACTGAGATTCTTTTTAGCCATATTTAGCTGTGCCTCTGGATTTTAATCAGTCCAGAAGTCATACTATTCAAGCAACATATTTTATAGAAACTCTTCTTCCTCCCTTTTGTCAAATCAAAACAAAATGGGGGTTCTGTGTTTTTACCCTCAAGTGTGCTTTCCTAATGAGTATGTATATGTGTGGGTGAACTAGGGTGGGGTGAAGGGAGAAGTTAAAGTTAAAAAAGGAAAAGGCAGAATCTTAAAAATAGGAAATGAAGCCTAGAGAGGGCCAAGAACCATTCACTAAGGTGATCTTCTAGTCCCTCCATATCCATTTCCAGGGAGGACAGAGCAGATGCCACACTCTTGGTTTTCTGGACATTTGGTTTGTGTTGAGGAGTTTGTGGTTGGATGGCTTCCATCTTGATGTCTTTGCCTACATCAAGAATTCATTGACTCTCAACAAAGAAAAGCCACAATCATCCACATTATGTGTCACCTTGAAGTATTTCTTATAGGCAATATATAACCTTTACTTAACCCAACATGTGGTTTATGTCTCCAGGAGAGATCCCGTACGACTGCAACTTCTCCTTCAGTAGCTCTGGATCGCTGTGACAGAATGGGAACCTGTGGTATTACCCTCAGCTTGGTGGATCAGTTAGAATAATCTTCAGGCAACTGAAAGGTATATAGTCTGTCCTCTTGTCTTCCATTCCAAGGAGAGAGTAACTTTTATTAAACTGTGTGGATCCATCTTTTCTCTGATAAATTCTTGCTTTCAGAAGTGTGATGCCTACTCCAATGTTGAACCAATACCCTTCAGGAAGAGGTCATATTGCCTCCATGATGAGGATGGTGATTTTCCCACAAGGCTTTATGTAACTGATACATGCAAGGTGGGAAGGATTTGGTAGAAGGTGAATCAATCTGATCTACAGAAATCTGTCCAACATTTCTCTGTATACTGTAACCTTGGCCAGTATAGGAATGACTAGTTGTTTGGATTAGAGTCTTTATGGAAAAGGTGAGTTGGCTTGTCTAGGCAGAATTAATACAAATCGGGTTTATCTGAGTCACACAGCACCAAAACTGTTGGGTTTCCAGGTGGCTGCCTGTCTCCTAAAATGTTGGGGTTTCAGGCAATTGCCCAGGCCTTAGTTCTTGGAGTGCTTATGGTCGAAAGGTGATCAGAGTAAGGCAAGCATGGAATAAAGTTTATCGAAGAGGAGAAAAATGGGTTTACAGAGTAAGAAAGTTTACAAGGAAGAGTATGTTCATTATAGACAGTGAAGGGAGCCAGGTATGGTGGCTCATGCCTGTAATCCTTGGGAGCCCAAAGTGGGTGGATTGCCTGAGCTCAGCAGTTCAAGACCAGCCTGAGTGAGTCCCCATGAAAAAATAGCCGAGTATTGTGGCAAGTTTCTATAGTTCCAGCTACTTGGGAGGCTGAGGCAAGAGAATTGCTTGAGCCCAAGAGTTTGAGGTTGCTGTGAGCTATGATGGTACAACACTCAATCCCAGGGTAACTGAGTGAAACACTGTCTAAAAAAAAAAAAAAGAAAAAAAAGACAGAGAATGTGCCTCCATTGCCAGGGCAAGTAGGCAAAGAGGGCTCCATATTCTTTTTTTTGAGACAAAGCCTCAAGCTGTCGCCCTGGGTAGAGTGCTATGGCATCACAGCTCACAGCAATCTCCAACTTTTGGGCTTAAGTGATTCTCTTGCATCAGCCTCTTAAGTATCTGGGACTACAGGTGACCGGCACAATGCTTGGCATTTTTTTTTTTTAGGGTCAGGGTCTCACTCTTGCTTAGGCTGGTCTTGTTGTACTCCTGCGACCGCCTGCCTTGGCCTCCCAGAGTGCTAGGATCACAGGTGTGAGGCACCGTGTCTGGCCTAAATACAACTTTAGATGGCAAGCATTTTATTTTTTGAGTGTGTTTTTTGAATTGCTTAAACTCCATTAATGCTGTGGAAAACCTAAATGAACCAGGTTTTTTTTTAATTTAATTTTTTTATCAAAACATAACTGTATACATTTATGGGGTACATGTGACAATTTGATATACAATGTGGAATGTTTAAATCAAACTGATTAACCTAACCATCACTTTACTTACTTTTTGTGGTAAGACATTTTTAATTTACTCTTAGTTATTTTGAAATATACTGTTGTATTGTGCATATTAGGCGAGATCCCACCAAATGCCCTCCCTTCTCCCATCAAACCTAAATGAACCAGATCTTAATGTTTGCATTTGGCAGTTAGAGAACAGATCGATTAGCAAACAGTGTGCTGACATAATTAAGTTGAGTTGTGGATGAAATTAAGACAATGAGATGTGATTCTTACCAGTGGCTACTTTTAAATATTTACACTGAGAAAAATTTGATCCTGAGACCTTGCCTGTGCCTGCTCAAAGCCAATGAGCGGGTCTTTACTCAGCCAGCGTCCTGTGAGACACACTGACCGGATGTGGTCAGAGCAGTGGGGCTGTGCTAGTTCAGGGCTCTTGCTAGTGCAGCTTGTAGTCACATTAAAGGCTCCCATAACTTTGTTCTTGATTGAAACTGTCCCAAGGTCTGCAGGAAGGGATATTCCTTTGAAGATCCTCTGGAGAGATTAAAAAACTAATCTAGTGGGAGGCAGGCACTGAAAACAGATCATGCTGTGGTCAGGAATTTCCTGGAAGAGACCTGAGTAAGTGGTAAATCAAGATAAGGTTATTGTGCAGCTAAGTTAAAGATTACATCTGTTCTTTACAGATGAAGCAAAAAGAGATAAATAAGGCTCGTGACTTTTTTGTATTGTAATTTTAAGATTATGTGTGTATGTGCAGGATGCTTTATTGTTAGGGTATATAAGTGAGTAAGAAATAAACTGGGGCTGCTGTATGCCTGAGAGAGCTGCAGCCCCCTTCTCTTCCAGGACATTCTGACTGCTGGTCTTATTTCTGCGACGCAGGCCTGATCAATTCACGCAACACTGCTCCTATTTATTCAAGTCAAAGAACTTCTCTAACACTTTCAGATTACTCCTCCCAGAGTACCTGGGCTGCCCCAAATCTAGCTAACGCCACCAGCAATGTGGCTGTAGTGCCCTGTCCTCCAACAGTCAGTCTCCTCATGGTCTCACTCTCTCTTCTACATTTCTACTGTTAAAAGATCCAGACCAAGAAACATTTGTACTTTCTCATTTTCTAAACCCAGTCCAAATGGCACTTAGAGGTCCAATGGGGCAAGGAAATCTACTAAATTGAATCTACTCATTTCACACTTTTTTTTATTGATACAGAAAATAAAATGTTAAGAGGGCCAAATTTGATTGGTTTGAACATGTGAAGGGTTTGAGTAGATGATAGATGCCAATATTAAGTCTGCTGGAGAGTCATGTATTAGATGAGGAGAGGCAGCATCTAGAATTAGTTAAGACACAATTTCTTTGAAAGTGGCTTAAGAAATAGGAACACTTAAAACTACTGTAAAAGAATAGATTTTATCTTGTCTAGAAATCAAGTATATGGTATGGAACGGAGACTCAATTTTCATTTGGTTCATTAATTCTATGAAGGCATAAAACAGGTAATATGAAAAGCGTCCATGATTTTTTTCATATGTACATCAGAAGGATCATACAGGTGTCACTGTAAATCCTCAATGGATTGTTTCAGCAGAACTATTCATAATTTGATGCCTGTATAGGTGAAGTTTTACATTGATAAGCCATCACTGTTCTCTTGGTAACTGAACTTTTTTTTCTCATCAGACTTTAGATTTGACATTGCATTTGACCTTTTATATCTTAGAGGAATTGACATGCCAGGGCAATGACAGGCTGGAGTCTCTCCCAGTTCCCAGCATCACGAGTCCCCTTACTTATCCCTACAGAGCCAGTGGCAGGCATTTCTCACCACCTATTTCCATTCCACGAGAGCACCAGATCCGTTTAGCTGCACTGATCCCACAAGTAGATAGAATTGCATTGACCTCAGCTAATTTTAGAGTCTTTTTATTTCTGCTTATGTTGAGTACTTTGTACAATTTTAAAAGTGATCTGTTTTGAAGGCAAAATTATAAAACTTGAAATTAAAAAGTCAAAAACGTAAAGGAGCCAATAGTGTAAATCAAGTATTTGGGAAGTGAAGTCTGGAAGCTAACTTGCAATAAATTCATAAGTTTTAAACTCTTTGTATAAATGCTTTTTGTTTTTGCTTTTTTAAAAACAACAGTGATGGACCAGAACGGTGGCATTTGAAACAGTTTGGGTTTTCAGGCAATATTTTCAATCATTATTATAAAACCTGGTTCTGAGCTTAAAAGTGGGCTTAATTCTGCAGTATTTATTTATTTATTTGAGACAGGGGCCCACTCTGTTGCTTAGGCTAGAGTACAGTAATGTCATCCTAGCTTACTGCAGACTCAAACTTGGGCTTAAGTGATCTCTCTGCTCTAGCATCACAAGTAGCTCAGACTATAGGCATGTGCCACCATGTCTGGCTAACTTTTCTACTTTTTGTAGATACGGGGCCTCACCATGTTGCTCAGGCTGCTTTCCAATTCCTAGCCTCAAGCAATCCTCCCTCTTCAGCCTCTAAAAATGCTAGGATTACAGCCATTGAGCCACCACACAGCCTCTGCAGTAAATCTTTTATAGCTACCTCAACACACAGAAACTTTCTGAGAAATGGACACTCCCTGAAGTCTTTTGTTTGCATGGTAACACTGACTGATGCTTAGATGTTCCAGCATCTAATGTGGTTACAGTAGTCTTGATGACCAAAGGTATTTTCTCCTAGCTTTGAAAGTCTGTGTTGATGCCAGATGGAACAGACTTTAAGCTACTGTGAATGTGAAGGAACACTCCCTTTGGCTTCGTATCTGAATGCCATGCATCTTTTTGGAATTGTATGTTGTGTTTGTGTATTTATTTTTTGATTCATAGTAACTTCTCATTTATGGAATCAATGTGGATAGAACACAAACTGTGAATAAAGGAAGTAAATAGCTGAAAAATATTTCATCCTGAATAGGCGCCTGATGAGTAAGATGGGAAAATCAAGATCAACATGAAACCAAAGGACAGAGAGGAACCTAAGGCCTCCCTCTGCCTATAGAGTCTTGTATTAGTCTTGTCTCAAGTGATAAAGACATAGAGAGAGGTGTTTGCACAGTCTTTGAAAATGCTGAGGTTTAGATTTTTTTTGGTTGTGTATATGTGTACCAGGAATTATCAGAGAGTCTGATTTTGCAAATAGCAAATATATATGCAATTTGGGTGTGGATCAAACACTGTACTTTTAGTAAACATGTAGATATGCACAGTTATCTATAGACAACTATTTCCCCTTGATTACCCCTAGATTTTAGCGTCTGGGCCTAAGTCAGTCTTATTTCTGTGGACAACTTTGTTAAACTGACAGGAAGTTTACAACATACCACAAAGGAGGGTGAAAATCAGAAGACTCATTCTCTGACCCTGAGTTGGGAGGGCTCCTGAGGGCTGAGGTGAAGTCAGCATTGCAGAACCCAAGCTCCCCTATGTCTTCCCAAATCAGCCTCAGGACCCCCTTTCTAGCTTGCACACCCAAAGCTGCTCTGTACAAGATCTGCAATAACGGCCTAGACTGGGAACAGATAAATAAACAAGTCTCCCCTTTTGCTCTTGGCTGTTTCACTCTCTCCTGAGGAAGTAAAAACATCAGTATGTCATAGGAATAATGAAATTCTTAAAACTTGTAGGTCATTTTAACATTTTTTTGGTGTAGTTTCTTTCAGTTTCCTCAGTAACTTATCCTAGCCTTATCACTCTGTCTGGTAAACAGTTTGCTACTCAAACTAAGATCAACTCCTTTATTTCATTATTCGTATGTCCTTCCCACTTACCTTCATCACTCTCTTCCTCCCCTTCCCCTCCATACCCTTCCACTTACCTGCTTTAGGGTAGGTAGAAATAAGCAGGTCATCAGGTTTGGCTTGAAAGTTCCAGATCTGATCCCAGGTCTCACAGGTGGGTGTGGGTTGAAGAATTCCCTGCACATAGTCAACACTTACGCGTTTGATTCCATCAAATTGGAAATCCTCCATCTTGTTTAAGGCTATCAGTGTTGGAAAAATCAAGAGTCTTATTCCAGAAAAAAAGAAAAAAGTACCTCTTAGCACAAAGCTGCGTTTTTGATATGGTATAGACAGTGCAAGACTCAGACAAGTCCTTTGTGGTCTGGTGCCTGCCGGCAAACGTGAAGGAAGGGAGTTGCAGGCCTCCTGGCTGTAGCTCCAGGGAATGAGAAGTGTTGTTTAGGACTCTGTGCAGAGGCGTGTTTCTGCTGAGCCCCATCCCTCCCCCGCTGCCCGGGCTATGACATCACCCAGAGGCGGTGACAAATTCTGAGGGCTGAGTCCTGCTCTAGCCCGGCTCTTTTCTGTCAAAGAGTTACTGCCACGTTGTTTGTGTCCCTGTTGTTTGCACCCCTCATCTTTGTGTTCATAAAATAGTTCCCAAATACAATTGCACTAATTGTTTAATTTTAAGCAATTAAAAAGTTGCAGGGTACTTGGCTATGGCATTACAAATTCAATACAGAATGACTTCCCTGAAAGGCTGCAGGGACATTTGTGTGGGCTGTTAACAGCTCTCTAACAGCCCAGAAAAAAGTCCCAAAGTGTCAACTTTGTTATTTTTTAAGGGTAAAAGAAATAATGTTCCACTGAAAAGGATTTCCTTGCTTTTGCAGGCTAGCCCACAGTGCCAGTAGGGGGCCCATCACAGCTATTAAACGCGTACATCTCATGCCTGGGCCCCAGGTCCTGCCACACTGCTCCCTCTGGCAGGTCCATAGCTCCCTCGAGCACTGCTGCTGCCTTCCTTCTCCTGGAACTCCCCCTGGCTCTTGTGTGTCCGGTTTATGTTTGCTTTTATGTGTTTTTTTTCAGGTCCCAGGTTATATGTCTTCTTTCTGGAGAATCCTTCCCTCACTTTCTATATCATCTCAAGCAGGTCCCTCCTGTTGCCTTGCTTGTGGCTCCTTCCTTTCATTTAGAGAAGCTATCAAAATTTAGTTTTTCTTATTTGCTTCTGAGCATTTTCCATATCCTGTGTTACACTAAAAGGCACGTGAAGCACGTCCAGGACTCTGTCTGGTTTTCTCACTGTTTACCAGCTGTGTGCTTAGTGCCTGGTACACTACTATCTCATGAGAGAATGAATGAGTAAAATTAAACAGAAATTGTTTAATCGAGGAAGTGAGTTCTTTGGTTCACTGTTACATGAGAATTAGGTGAGCCTGGTGCCTGTGGCTTTCCAGTCTTAGCCAGATCTCAGACTGCCTGTATTTGAATCCTGTGCCATCCCTTGGTAGCTGTGGGCAATGACAAGTTACAGAATCTTTGTATTTACACTTCACACTTCCCTCATGTGTAAGTTAGGGATCTTGACAGTATCTGCCTCATAGATAGTGTTGTTTGCTGGGGGGGGGTGGGGGGAGAGGGCGGAGGGGGATAAAATAGTGCATTTAGTGCCTTAGTTATTACAGCTGGGAAATGTTCCATCAACAGCGGCTATTAATAACAATGAAGGACAGTAGTTCACGATTTCTCTCTGACTCATGTCTGGATGCAACCTCAAATAAGATAAATTCTTTGGCTTTCTTATTGATTATCACCTCTCTATCGGTGTGATGAGGCATGTGGACACTTGACATTCATATGCATTAGAAAGACTTACAAAAGTTACCTATAACTGTTCAGTTAGATTCATTCTATAATCTTTTCAGGCCCATGTGCTCT